TTTTCCCCAAGCCGGAAAAAAGCGGCAGCCATGTTAATGCAAATACCGCGGGGGATATTTAAATACCCCGCGGATTTGCCTATTCCAAAGTCTACATTAGCATCCCTTTTCCGGAAAGGGGTGCCAATGTAGACACAGCCCTCATGTTAGCCCCATCCCCCACACCACCTGACAAAGGTTCTCAGATTGGGGTCATCTGGGGTTTTTCCCTTGTATTTAACACAGGCAGCAGAAAAAGAGACCCCCTCCTGGTGCCCTCCTCCCCCCACCCCACCAGGGTGCTAAGCCACAGGGGTGGGGAGAGCCAGGCACTGCTGGCCATGCAGGTTGCAGCGTGTTCCTGGCACACAGAGACTGTGTGCCCAGACAGGAACATGTGTCAGAGAGTGTTGATCCCACGTCGCGCCGGTCTGGGGTCCTGTGTCCTCCCATGGCTTGCCTGATCCTTAGCAGAGAGGCTGGCACACTCTGGGGCGTGTCCTATGTTAGCATGTGTCCAGTGGGGCACCTGACTCCCCAGCAGAGTGTGTCCAGTCTGAAATATAGCCTACGGCCGGCCCAGGCATGACATAGCACGTCCTGTCTAGTGTGCACAGGATATGTACCGCTTGCTCTCTCTCTCTGCATCTTGCCATGTGCCCTGTGTGGCACCCAGTGCCGGCAGGGGGCTGCGGGGTGTTGGCGCCCCCTACTGCTCCAGCATGTGCTCGCAGGTGCGAGCCAGTTCCCCCAGCTTGAGGCGGGCGTAGTCAACGCGATTCAGTGCCATCTGGCAGCCCTTGCGTGCCGAGTAGCTGGACCCCTCATGTGGCTGCCCTGTTGCCACCTGTGGGAAGGGGAGGCAGAAAGAGAAGGTGAATCCGGATGCCCCAGTCCCTGCCCCCGGCCCTGCCCCCAACCATGCCCACTCGCCTGGGTGAGGTAGCGGATCTGGCCCGACAGCTCTGACTCCACCTTCTGCATGGAGGCACTGAACTGGGTGGCTGGGCTTCTCCTTCGACAGCTCTAGGATCACGCTCCCTGGGAAGGGAAGGGCAGTCGGGGTTGCTCAGTTAACCCCCCCCCCCCTTTCGAAGCGCCACCTCCAGGTCTGGCGTTCTCCCTGGATCCACCCCTGCCACTCCTCCTCCCAGGGGATCCCCAGTGTTGCACCCACGCTTTATGAAAATTGGTCTGAGTATGAGAATGCATAACTCAGGCACTTTATGCAAAACGGATTACGTGACATGTCATTTGAATGTTACAATCCGCTGAACGTGTACTTCCTATTTGTGAGCACCTGTCATTCTTGTATGTGAGGTTAGATGTGTGAAGTGTGGAGCTAGTCTTCATTCTAAATATGCTAATGAGGGCCATTACTGGCTAGGGAAACACAAGGACTCAGTACTTCAAGAACCTGTGAATAGCCTTGTTTGTCCTGCGAGCCCAGACTGTGGTTGGTCCTAGGAAGACATGTGGCCAGGCCAGCTAATGCCAAAACCCACTTTGGATCTGGTACTTTACCTTAGGTGAGAAAAGTTTGAACTGAACACAAAACATTCCCACATTGGGCAAAAGGGGGAACTAAACAATTGGGGCAGTTGCCAGATGCCAGGAGACACCCCCGCCACACACACTTACCACCTCAACTGCCTCCTGGAAACATCTAAAACTGGACAGGGGAAGGGTTGGGGTTGAGCTGGGGGGCTGCTTAGCTTGTGAAAGAGAGAATTAGAACAGCTGTTTAGGGTGAGAATTTGTATGTAACTGACCTGTTTTGTTTATTTTCAATTAGTAATTTACTTTGAGGTGTCCATTTTCATTCACAACCACTCAAATCCTACCTTTTATACTTAATAAAAACACTTTTGCTTATTATCAAAACCAGTGTAACTAATGGAATTTTTTGGGGGGGGGCGGGGGGGGGGGGGACCAGTGTACATCTCTCTTTCATTGATAAAGGGAGTTGGCCATACCAGCTTTTACAGAGGCTATGGTTATGGTGACCATACTTTCTGAGTCAAAATTAGGGACATTAGCTACACCTCTGACTCTCATTAGCCATGCCCCCTGCGACAACAAGTCCCAACCTTGGAGGTAGTACAAGGGGTCAAGATGGACACATAACCATAAGTAAAGGGTGTCGTGACCCCTCTAAGATAGCCTCCCACCTTCCTCCTACCAATAGGGATTAGTTTGACCCCCATAGGACCCCCCCCATGCAACTATCCTGCAATTGCATTAACCCAACTTGCATTGCATTAACTTGGGGGGACGGGGAAGGAGACATGGGGCAGGTTCCCTCTAAGATCTTCCTCCCATGAGCAGAGTGAATTTAGTCTTGTGCACCAGTACTGAGTTCATGTGGCTTGCTTGGATGTGTGCCACTGTGGCACCCAAGTTATTAATAAATATCTTATACACCTCTCCCTTTTCCTTCTGCTGCCATGTCTCCTCCCCTCACCCCATCTGATCCCCTGGTGTCTGCTGCTGCCCCCATATCCCTCTTCCTCTTCTGCTGTCCTGGTTCTTGCCGAGACAACTCCACTCAGCCCCTTGGGGACCTGCCACCCCCCCCCCACCT